TTCATCCAAATAAGATACTCCCTCCGTTCCTTATTATAAGAGACATTTGGTGCTCATGGCATATTCCTATATATAAGAGACACTTAAAAGTTGTCTCTACTTTTTTGTGGTGATTTCTTATTTTACCTATATTTATTGTCTCCAACTCACACTCTCTCTCCTTCCCACTTCTCTTTCTTTTAATAAATTACCATTGTTCTCTCTCCTTATTAATGAGGATATTTTTGGAAAAAAATTATACTTTTTACATATTAATTGTTCTTAACTAATTTTAACTGTTTTTTTTATCAACATAATTCGGTTATTCGTCTCTTATAATAAGGAACGGAGGGAGTAATTAGTAACACTTTTCTTCAGTTCTCTCTTCTCATTTTTTAACTCTTATTTTCCTTTTGTCAAACTTTTCTTCCCACCCAATGTAGGGTTTTCGTCTAGATGGGATAAGTTAGTGGTTGATCATGCGGTAAGAAGGGGGAATTATGATCAGAAAGAGATAAATTCAAAAAATCCAGATGTTGCGTGACAAATCTGGTTTGAAACGGGTCAGCAGGTCAAATAACCTCATTCTATATCTCAAACAAAAGATTAAAGATGAATTTTGGGTTGATCATGATTAACTATTAGATTTTCGCCATGGTTTTAGTACTTGTACCTATTGTACCTTCTGACCGAGAGAAAAAAAAAACGAGAGCTTTGTTTGCAATTTGTTTTTTATTTAAGACAATATGCCCACTACCTTCTTCATGAGATGAGTGTGGGTGGTAGGATGTCGCTTGAGCCAAAAACTCTTGAGAGTTACTGTGTGATGGATGTCAAACACAAGGATTAAATACAAGTAAGCATTATGATTAATACATAAATATGAACTTTGAGCTCTCAAACCAAGAGTTATGAAAACACAGAAATTTACGACACATCTGTCAGCAAACATTGAGATCACACAACCAAAATGGAATGGCGGCCTGTAGCAAACCGACACCCCAAGAAATTTCTAAAGCCAAATAACACCATACACTACTGAACTTCCAAACAACTGAAGCAATGGGTTAAGATTGATTAAAAATCTTAAATTAGGTTTCTTACATATCTTTCAACTGCAAAGCAGTCCCATACTAATAAAATTCCAAATTGACATATGGTAAAAAGACTTTCTTACCATAGAAACTTCATAGTGATAAGGTGAAATTTCAGCTCATGGCCCCCCAAGTGTTCAATACTACCCTTTTTCGCATTGGTCTAATTTTATACCGGGATCGGTTTGGGTTTTAACTCTTAGTACCAGTTTCTAATGGGTTTAACTGGTCTTGGACAGATTCTAATTGAGCCTAACAACATTTAAAGAAATTGAACAGGTTTTTATATTGGCGAAAGCATCAATCACAACTCTTTGATTCGATCACAGGTCCCTAATGGATCCAATTGTACTTATTCTAAAGTAAGTATTTTTAAAATTATTTGCATGCAACTAAAATATTCATTAGATAAATAAAATTAGAAGCCAAAAATTATACAATTTACACAAAAACTGATTTCTCAAAATTTGATTCCATAGCAATAGGTGTTAGTCCTAACGATATCATAAGTTTGTGTTCATCTGGATAGAAAAGATTCCTTTGAAAGCAGTACTCCTTTTAGGCTCAACAATGCTTAAATTTAATCAAGTAGTATCATATATCAAATACTATATGAAAAATTTTATCCCATAAAATAATTAACTTACTCGTCAATAAACGTCTTTGCTAATACTTTGATGTAGATTTGCTAGATGCACGTTTGGATCATGTGAGAAGTTGGTAAAAGCAACAGCATTCAAAATCGTTGATATTACTAGTTACCGATGAGAAGAAATTTCTGCTCTTGTGGAATTTAAAGTTCATCTTAAAAGTATTGGTGGTAGCCGGTGCTGTAGAAACTAATTAAATAGAATTGAAGTCTGATATTTGTTTCTTATTGTATCTCCTTTTGGTACAAATGAGTATGATTGTGTCACCTATATCATCAAACTTGATATGCTGAGAGAAAGAGTGGGTTTTGTTAATCGAATTCTATTATATAAAATTTGATAATTAAACACGCGCATACATTATACGTAACTTTTTACTGATTCTAAATCTTTTTGTCCAGGCAAGAAGTGAGTAAACTTCAGGAGGAATTAGACAAATACTTGTTTTGCAATCTTCCACCCCATCCAGTGGGGTTACTCCGTCGTGTGAAAGATGTACTTCTTCTGTTGATGGGCGGGACCTGTTCCATCGGAATATGGGGGGTTGCAGGTATTGGTAAATCCACTTTCGCCAGAGCAATTTATGATAGAATGGGTGGCAAGTTTGAGAGAAAAAGTTTCCTTGCAAATATCAATGATGAATGGAAGAAAGATAATAGTCTAGTTCATCTACGACATCAACTTGTTTCAGAACTTGATATGGATCATGCATTTCAAATGAAGATGGCACTCAACTCCGGGAGTGCAATGGTAGTATTTGATGATGTGAATCATATAGACCAACTCATAGCATTATGGGGAAGTAGTTCTCTGTGCTTTGACAAAAGGAGTTTAGTACTTGTTACGTCAACAAGTAAGGATCTAATTCTTGGCCTCGGACTCCACTTTTATGAAATGAAGGCGCTGGATGAAAGTGAGTCTCTTGAGCTTTTCAGTTGGCATGCATTTAAGAAATCTAGTCCAACAGATGATTTCATGTCTCTATCAGGGAAAGCAATAAATTTTTGTGAAGGACTACCATTAGCTCTTGAAGTTATTGGCTCTCTTTTGCTTAATAAGACAAAAAAAGAGTGGAATAATGTGTTGAAGAAATTGAGAGGAATTCCTCATGGTCAAATACAAGAGAAGCTCAAGATAAGCTTGAACTTTTTAACCGATTCAGAGAAAGATTTACTCTTTACTATAGCTTCCTTGTACGTCGGTCTAAATAGACACGATGTTATACAATTGTTAAAGGGCTCAAAATTTCCTGTAGAAAAGGCAATGCATGAGATTATAGAGCGGGGACTTGTTAAAGTTGATACAAGTGATAGGCTTGATGTTCATCATTTGCTGCGAGAGATAGGAAGAGAAATAAATCCTAAAAAGATAAAGCATGAATATATCTATGAAGTATTTTTGAGTTTTAGAGGTGAAGATACACGTAAATCTTTTACTACTCATCTTTGCACTGGTTTAAAGAAAGCAGGTATTGAGGTCTTCATGGATGAAGAGGGGATTGGAAGGGGTGAAGCCATTTCTTCCTCTTTACTGCAAGCAATTGAAAGTTCGAGAATGTCGATAATTATATTCTCGAAAAATTATGCTGGCTCTAGTTGGTGCTTGCAAGAATTAGAGAAAATCATGGAGTGTCACAAAACAACTCATCAAGAGGTCTTACCAATATTTTATGATGTGCAACCATCTGAAGTTCGTAAACAACAAAATATTTTTGGAGAAGCATGGAAAAGACTCACACTAAGAAACTCAACTAGCAAAGTGAAGAAATCGATGATCAATTGGAAGAGAGCGCTCATTGAAGCTGCGAATATATCTGGGTGGGACATGCATGAATGGAGGTAAGTCTGATTACCATTCCTTTTTGGTCAAGTTTGATTATCTTTTACTTGTTACTGTGTGACATCATTAAATTCCTTAATTTCCTATTGGTGATATGCGCTTCAATATATGAAAATAATGTCCTTGGGAAAAGAAAATACTTGGTTGTAACTGGGATATTATAAATGGTCCAGCTGCTTACTCTTACAAATCACACAATGAGCACTGAATGAATCTTAAAAAGAAAGGTTTTTGTAATTTTCTTGCAGAAGATGCGTCAGGAGAGGGGTTTGGATTTAGTTCATACATAACAAATACCTTTAAACAAATTTTAGCTAACATCTACGTTAAGAGGCAATTGATCCAATCATTTAGAAAAGAATCGTTAGTCTCCAAGGTTAATAAATAAACGCCAAGATTGATCCTGATATAAATGTAACTTGTTTTTTCCAGAACTGAAACGGAGTTGATTGACGATGTGGTTGAAACTATAACAATGAAGCTAGACAACAAAGATTTGTTTGTTACTCACCACCCAGTGGGAGTAGAGCCTCGTGTGCAAGATATCATCAGGTTGCTGAATAATAAATCAAATGAGGTTATCATAGCAGGGATATGGGGGATGGGGGGGATTGGCAAGACTACTATTGCTAAAGCGATCTTCAACAAAATTGGTCAAACATTTGAAGGAAAGTGTTTCCTCTCAAATGTGAGGGAAGTGTGGAAGCAAGATAATGGTCAAGTTTATCTTCAAAAACAAATTCTTTCAAGCATCTTTAATGCGAGAAGAGTGAAGCTCACAAGTATAGAAATGGGGACAACTCTAATCAAGAAAATGCTTGGTAAGAAAAGGGTACTTGTTGTTCTTGATGATGTAAATAATGATGATCAGTTGAAAGCTTTATGCGGAAATCATGCATGGTTTGGTCAAGGTAGTAGAATAATCATCACCACTAGAGATGAACGGCTACTTAAGATCCTTGGAGTGGAAGATCAAAAGATATACAACATGAAAGAAATGAATGATGGTGAATCTCTTGAGCTTTTTAGTTGGCATGCGTTTAAGCAACGATTCCCTGAAAGAGATTATGCTGAATTTTCAAGGAGGATAGTTTCTTACTCTGGAGGTTTGCCACTAGCTCTTGAAGTTCTTGGCTCCTATTTATTTGATAGGGAAGCGTTGATATGGGAAAGTGTTCTAGAGAAACTACAACAAATTCCAAATGATAAAATATATGAAAAGCTAAAAATAAGTTATGATGGTTTGAGTGACCAAACAGAGAAAGATATATTCCTTGATGTATGTTGTTTTTTTATTGGGAAGAACAAAAGCTATGCTACACAAATATTAAATGGTTGTGGACTTCATGCTGATATTGGAATTATTCGTCTGGTTGAAAGGAGCCTAATAAAAGTTGGCAAGAAAAACAAGCTCGACATGCATGACTTACTACGTGATATGGGAAGACACATCATTCGTGAGCAATCACCAGAGGATCCTGAGAAGCGGAGCAGATTATGGTCTCATGATGATGTTCTAGATGTGTTAAGAAATTGCACGGTGAGAATGTCTCTGAATGACTTATACTTATTTAATTTATGTTGCTTTTTCATTACCAGTTTTGCAATCCCATATTTTAGTTAACTGTTGCGTGTTCAAACATTTATCGTATCGCTTGTTTATTATATTTGTAATGTTTCAGTAACTGAAATATCATTTATTTTTATTTCCCGTTATTTCTACTTTAATAGGGAACAATAGCGATTAAGGGATTGGCTTTAAACATGTCAGCAAATAGTTCAAGATCATTGGGTGCCAAAGCATTTGAGAACATGAAGAAGCTTCGTTTGCTCCAACTTGATCATGTACAACTTGTTGGAGACTTTGATTATTTATCAAAGGACTTAAGGTGGCTGTGCTGGCATGGATTTCCCTTAGAAAACTTGCCAACAAATTTAAGTCTCGAAAAGATAGTTGCCATAGACTTAAAGTGGAGTAATCTCGCAAAAGTATGGGAGAAAAGCCAGGTATTTACAATGTCACAATGAAATTTTCAAATTAAACACATGTACCAATTGTCGTGTTAATTTATTTCCATATATTTTATTCTTTCCATTCATTGTGTTTATTTATTTTAAAATGTTCTCTTGGTGCAGAGGCTAGAGTGGCTGAAAATTCTCAATTTGAGTCATTGTCATCATTTGACAAAGACACCTAACTTTTCAAAGTTACCATATCTTGAAAAGCTAATACTGAAAGATTGTCCGCTTGTGTCTTCGATTCACCCCTCCATTGGAGATCTTAAATATATTGTTCTGTTAAATTTAAAGGACTGCAAAGATCTCAATCATCTCCCAAGAGGTATATATAACTTGAAATCTTTGAAAACTCTCAATCTTTCGGGTTGTTCAAAGATTGAAAAGTTGAAAGAAAACATTGGGCAAATGGAATCCTTGACGACTTTGGTGGCAAATCGAACTTCTATTACACAAGTTCCCTCCTCATTAGTGAGAATGAAAAGTATTAAATATGTGTCAGTATGTGGCTACGAAGGATTATCGCGTGATGTATTTCCATCCATTGTTATGTCTTGGATGTCACCGACAGTTCAATCAAAGTCCCTGTTACGAGCATTTAGGATCATGCCATCTTTAATCAAGGGTCTATCACATCCTTTATTTGCCAGAAGCCCTGAAGTATTAGAAGCAAGACCAAGCACATCTCAAGATTTATGTGGAACTCAAGGGTTAATTGGTTTTCAAGAGAAATCTCACATGGAAAGGTTAGAGCCATTGAGTTCTTTAACTATTCATTTAGGCGGATTCAACAAAGTTATGGATGCACTTTTAAACAGTATTTCACAGGTAATTTTTCTAGAAACCGCCATGAATGTATTTTCAATTAAATCAGCATGATGATTTTCGTTAGTGTGAGCATTATACTATTATTTTTCCTCTATTCTCAATTCTTTTTCCTTGTTCATGGATTAGGGATGGAGTGACGGAGGGTTTGACTATTCTCAGCTTCCTCAAGATAATTATCCTGATTGGCTATGTTTTGAGAGTGAAGGATCTTCTGCATCATTTAAAATGCCTCGAGTTGTTGGTCGTTTGATGGGAATGGTAATCTATATTATCTATTCATCTTCTCAAGATAGCATGGCATCTGTATATCCTGTTGGCTTCATGATAAAGAATTTCACAAAGGGTACTATGGATTTTTACAAGCGAGATGATGCAACGACTTCTACTGATGATGACTGGCACAAAATAACACTTAATCTAGAGCCTGATGATGACCTGGAAATTATAGTCAATTTTGCCCAAAAGCATATTGTGAAGAAGACTTTAATCTATCTGGTATACAATGAAGGAACTAAACTAAGTATCACTCCATCATGTGAAAGCATTGGCAAGGAGATACGTTTGTAATTGGGATTGCGTATAAGGTTTGCATGTGTTTATTCTGAAAAAAAATATAATATTTATTTCTATGTATATAATATTGCAGGGCTTCATTAAAAGGAAGAAGAGGTGAAGAATGACAGGTAGAAGGCTGCAGGTTATGGCACTCGTCTTTTTTTTTTTTTTAACCTTACTTTTTTATTTGTTGAGCAAAACAGCAAAAGGAAAAATCAAGAAAAAGTCCCTGTTTAAAAATTTTATTGATCAGAATGACCCCAATTTGAATATGGGTGTTTTCTATGCATGAATACTTTATAATATTAGTATTTAGATTATTTTGGCCAACAAAACTTTTAAAAGGGGATTTTCCACCAATTTTTTGGGGAAAAAAATTAAAATCGTTCCATATATTATCTGTCAGTATACTGTCCTCCTTTGTCATTGGCATTTGGCAATTTGGCATCATTATCCTTTTCCCTTTTTTTGGGCCGGCTTCATACAGGACCCACTTGTCTGCAAAATACTTCCGTCTCCTCCTCCTCCTCTTTTTTCTTTAATGTTAAATGGGCTTTGTTTTTGAATGACCCAAAACCTTGACCCGTTAACCAAAATCCTTACCCGCCGAGTTAAATTAATAACCCATTTCACATTTCATTTCATTTCTAAATTGACTTCGTAAATTGTGATATTTGAAAAGGTAGGAGTTGAATAATCTCTGGAGTTTGAGTTCAAGGAGTAAGGTTAATTTAATATGTTTCTTAGTGATTTGTCTGCATCTGTATGATTTATCATTTAATGAGTATTTCGGTTTTTGATCCATCACAGGGGAATTAAAGGAGCTGAAATTAAAATATGGTCTTGGTTTATAAGATATGGGTGATTTTTGTAAGCCTCTGATCTAATCTTGCTGTTTTCATAATCTTTAATTTCATATGAATTCTTGTACGATGACGAGATGGTAATTAAAATCAATGTTTGATTTATGCTGTATTGAAATAAGGAATTGAATCTCTTGGCTGAAAGCATATACGGTGCTGGACCGTTGATATACGGAGATGAAAAATCAAACGTTGCGATAATATGCAAGTTGTGGTGTGCGCGCGCGTGTAAATTCTGATGGCAATTATTGTGTTAATTCTTGGGGGAAAAAAGTATTACCCTCAGTCCTTAATATAAAAAGCTAGTTGACTATTTGATTAGATTAAAAAAATTAATTAAATCTGTTATTTGTAATAAATAGGTGTTGTCTTTTCTAAAATACTCTAGTTAATAATATGTACTCCTCCGGTCCTTATTATAAGACCCAATTTGACTTTTTATTTGGTCCTAATTATAAGACCCAATCCATTTTTTCTTTTATATTTATGTATTTTTTCCAAGATAATCCTTCTAATAATGATAGTTTTAGCCAATATACTTAATTAGCAAGGATATTTTAGGAATAACAACACTTATTTATTATAAATAACCAACTTAACTTACTTCCTTAATCTCCTCAAATAAGTCAATTGGGTCTTATAATTAGGACCGGAGGAGTATTAGCTAAAACTACTATTTGATAAAACATTTAATATGTGCAACTATTATAAGGACTACCTTAAAAAAAAAAAGAAATAAATATAAGAGATAAAATAGATTGAGATCTTATATTTAGGACTAAATTGAATATCAAATTAGCTCTTAGTATTAAGTGCTGCAAAAAAACCCTTTAAAGGCTTAAAGAAAGAAAATTACGAGTAGAGCTGGTAATATGGGTTGCACCTGTGGGTCCAACTCTCCAGTAAACGAGCATTTTGAACCTGCACTGCTAGACTAGCAACCCGCGGGCTAACCCACATCTATTTTTTTTAATTTTTAAAAATTTTTAATTGTTATAATGATATTATTATATATTATATCTTATCTAAAAAATTTAAAAAAATACCTATATAATTTATTTGGTGCTTTTAATCAAATATTTCAAAGAAAAATAAAAAAATTTGTTATTATTTTTGGATATTGTATAAGAAAAAAATTAAAAAATAAGAAAATTTTCAAAATAAATAAATAAATAAATAAGCGTTAGCCAACCCGCTTTCAAACTAACCTTTCCAGCCCGACCCACATATGTTCAATCCGCTACGGGCCAACCCGCAACCTGGGATTGGCTCATATTACCAACCTTGTGAGTAATAATTAATAGTTTACAATACAAAATGTCTCAGATACTCACTTTGAGTCGTCCAATGAAAACTGTGAGAACGCAATTGATCACATGGACTATACCAAAAGTGAATATGAATATATACAGGCCATGGATGGCCTTAAGGTATATCAATGGAACCTCGTTATGCAGGAAAATGAAAAGATAACAAAACGGTTAAATGATCATAGTTCAAGAAATATAGGAAAGCATCCACATTCGGTGCTCATCAGGTGAAGAGCACCCAATGCTCATCACCTGATGAGCACCGAATGCGGACGCATGTAAATCCAGAAATATAGAAAGGAAAATTCACAATGCAAATAACCGAAAGGTTTATGTCCCGACTCGAAGAGCCTCAATAAATGTTACCATTGTCATAGTGTAGTTATCTTTTAAATTTATATAAAATTTCATTTTATAAATAATTTTTTCAATTCTTTTACCCTAAATCAATTAAAAAAAAGCTTTATGAAATTTTAAATGTTGAAAAACATTCTTAAATGCTAACATATTAATTTTTAATTGTTAGAAATAAAAATGAATGTTACAAGAAAAATCATTTGAGACTAACAATATTAGGGTTAAAGAACTAAAAAGATAATTTATAAAATTCAGCAATTAAACCAAAACATATGCACTTTTGCCTATTAAAAACTCACAATGGCAAGTGAAGAAGAAACGAATTTGCGATATGAGTACCAAAATTTGAACAGTTTAGATTTAAATTTTTCAATTTTTATTTTTTTTAAAAATATTTTAATGTATACATAATTTAAAATAAATATAATTGCCTAATTGTGAGTTTTTCAGAAAAGTAATTTTTTTTATTTAAAAGTCACCAGTCAAAATTTTAAAATTTTAATTGTTGAAAATATATTTAAACGATACAAATCTCACCATAAGAATAAATATCACACTAGGGAACCGATTAAAAGTGATGGGTATTGACATTTGGACTCTCCAGATCTATGTGTATAGTCCAAATTTAATTTTACTTTTATATTTGAAAAATATTTTAATGCATAAAATTTAAAATAAAGTTAATTTTTTAACTGTCCATTCTTTAAAAACTTCTTTTTTTTAAAATTTAAAAATCATTAATTAAGTTAATGGTCTGAACTGATTCCATGGAGGACTGTCATGTGCAATGTTAGCTGAGCAGCACAATATACGAATTGGCATCAGATGCTGGCCCGTTGTGAATTCCAGCAAGGCATCATATTGTGGGTCAAACCCCGCGGAACGCAGATCTTTAATATCCTTTTGGCCAAAATACATATAACTGCCTTTAACTTTAACCCAGTTGCATGTAACCTCTCATCTTGGAAAGTTTAAAAATCATACCTTTAACTTTCAGATATTGTTCATCAAACCCTTGCCGTTAAAATGAACGGTTAAAATTAATGAAATATAAGCCACATCAGATTATTTAAAATTTCTTGTTTTCTATGTTTTATTGATTTATTCTAAATAGAAATTTAAAATATCGCTAAAAGGACAATTTTGCAATTCTATTATTTACAATCCCTAATTGCTAATTCTCCTGGCCTTGCACAACACTATCGTCCTGCTTCGTCTGTCTTCTAAATTTTATTCTTATGCTTCCCATCTCAATCACAGTCGACAATTCCTCCTTATGTCTCTCTTCTTCTTTTTTTTTTTAAGTGTTGAACTTTCAATGCTACTGGTATATTCTAGTGGGAATTTCAAGCAACTGTGCTCGACTCAAATAATTTCAGATAATTTGATTCTGACTTAACGTAATAAGACGCAGAAAAGAATGGCAGGTGGTTTTGAACGGACATGATCTTGTGGTGCAAGTTCAAGGTTTTCGCTGCCAAGGTTTTCTTCTCTTTTTTGAGAGATGAAAGACGAGAAACAATACAGTGGCAATGATACATCATCTAAGGTGAGACAAAATTAAGTTTGAGAAGCGAAAATAAGTCAAGGGAAAGAGGCAAGTTGTCTTTGGGAACCAGACTGAGAGTCAGAGGATGGAGAGAACCAAGATGATGGCAATTAGGGATTATTATGGGCAGGAATGTAGGATTACAACATTCTCCTTTTAGTAAATTCTGAATTTCAATTTGGAACAAATAAATAAAATATAGAAAAAAATTACATGCATTTGCCGAGTAATTTTAAATTTATATTCCATTAAATTTAATGATCATTTTAACGGCAGGGATTTGATGGTGAAGGTCTGGAAGTTGATGGTTTGATTTTTAAACTTTTAAAGATGAGGGAAGTGATGTCCAACTGGGTTACAGTTGAGAGGAGTTATATATATTTTAGCCTATCCTTTTCTCCAAAACCGTCAAAAGCAGGGATGTAAAACCCAGCAGCATCAGCTCTGAGAAGCCAACATAGGAAAATCAGAAGCAAAAAACGCACATCCACTGGTAGTGGAGGGAACAGGGAAAAAAATGAAAAAAAAAAAATTTTAATATAAAATCTACTTTATAGTACAAATTATTATTTACCGCCGTTTATAATAAAAAAGTTTTATAAAATTTTAAATATTGACAAAACATTCTTAAATACTAACATTAATTTTTAATTCTCAGAAATAAAAAAAATGTTATATGAAAAATCATTTGAAACTAACAATATTAGGATTAAAGAACTAAAAAAATAATTTATGAAATTGAGGAATTAAACCCAAACATATGCACTTTTGCCTATTGAAAACTCACCAATGGGTAGTATTGAATAAACGAGTTTGCGATTTTGGTGCTTATCAGGGGTGACAAGTACCAAAATTTGAACCGTCTGGATTTAAATTTTTTAAATTTTATTTTTAAAAAAATATTTTAATACATACGGAATTTAAAATAAATATAATTACTTAATTGAGAGTTTTTCAGAAGAGTACTTTATAATGTAAATTATTATTTACTATTTATTATTAGAAGAAAAAGTAGGGAGCTGATTCATTACAGAACCTTCTTTGATCTTCTGAAGAGCTTCGTAGAGGGCCGTCTTTGCCGTCTTTTTACCCCTCTCGAGGCTGTTTCCCCAGCAAGAGAGAAGACGTCCGGCAGCAAATGAAACGGCGACGATGACAGCGTAAACGACAGCTATAGCCCATCTAGGAGTTTATACGTTGGTAGTTGCTTCCCCAGCTCTAGCCATTATATTCTCTCTCTAGTTCTCTCTCTAGCCATTATTATTAGCTTCTTGCTACTGATCTGTGGAATCTCTGCACTTTGTCACTTCCACTTTGTTCCATTTATATATATGTGCGTACGTGTCCAAGTCCTGTATACCTCCATGAGCCTGAGCTTCAAAGTCTTCTTGTGTTGTTTTGGATCTGGCGGATTGGTGCCTAAATTATTGGGCAAAAAATTTGAACAAATTGTAAGATTTCTTTTGTCCCTGAAATTTAACCTCATTTTGGTTTTTGCCTTTGAAATTTGAAACTATTTCATAGAATTTGATTTCATTTTGATCGGTCTAAAGATTTTTTATTCTTAGAACAATGTCTTTGATCCCTGAAGTCAAAGTCCAAATCAAACCAAAATGACTGACTATATGACATATGAAAACACTACTACAGATTTTGTTATAAATGACGTTTAATACTTGACAGTTATTAAAAAAAACGTTAAATAAGATGAGGCGGAAGTCCAAAAACACTTATTTGACAGTTATTCATTAGAACCGTCAAATATTATATATACATATTTGGCAGTTAAATATAGAAGCGTAAAATATCTGTTAGGATACTTTTTTAAAACAATTATTTGACGGTTAGAGCTAATAACCCTAAAATAAATATATCAATTTTTAGTTTATATTTAACACTTCTTATTCTTAAATCTTCGAAACTCCTGCTCTTTCTCCAGTGGCACGGCTTAGGTTTTTATCTGGAGCTCCATCGACTTGTCCCTACGATCACCCCCTTCCTCTACTTCTTTCTTTGTCACCACTTGGCTTCACTCTCTGTTCTTGCATGCTTCTAATACAATCTCTAGTTTGTTTGATGCTTGCTCGGTGTTCATTGTGGAAGTGTGTGGGAGGCGATTTCAAAGCGTGTAGAGCCCTAGGGTACAACACCAGAGAGAAGGGAGAAGCCTAGGTGATGCTCTCACTAACATCTTAGGTTTCTATTCTCCTCATTTTTTATCTTTGATTCAGTCTTTTGTCTCATGTTAGAGTTTATTGAGGGGTTTTAATCTCTCTTGTTTTGCCTCTTGCCATGGTGAAACTTGGGCAACATTGTCGCTCATTATAATTAGGTTCTATCTCAACCGACAAAGTGATTCACTGCACCGATTCTCTTTCCTTTCCCATTTTTGTTTTGAACTTGTGAGCCCTAGCAAAGTGATTCACTCGCCTCCTTCTTCCACTTTTCTTCTTCAAGCTCATCCCTGTCACAGTTGCGCTTGGAGTTGGAGCTCAAATTCAGCGTGTTCAAAAATCAAACAATCGCAGTTGCACTTCTTTTGGTAAGTGTTTCACATCCCTTCCTTGAGTAATGGGATTTTCTTTGAATTTTATATCACTATGGACTTTGGTTTTGAATGGGATTTCAAATAAAGAATCGGATTTTCTTTGAATTTTATACCACACAAACATGTTTGTATATACTTCCACTTTCATTGCTTGGTTAATTTCTATTCAACACTGTGAAATAATCGCAGAGTTTAAATTATGGTTACGTATCTCTGGCATTTATCAAAAAACAAAAACTATAAAGGGAAAGAAGGAAACCGATGTGTTCCAGAAAGATTAGCTCATGAGTTTGGGTCACTGTTTTTAGGCGAAAATTAGGGGAAGAGAATTAAAGGTACATTAATGACGGAGATGGGCAGAATGAAATAAAAGCTGGATAATTACTTTTGCTGATTTGACACTCATTTCAATTTGAATGTTAATCTCTTCTTCGTCTGCTCCTTCATTTTTTGCATAATTCTGTTTCCCACGTAGTAAGCAATGACAAAGAAATTGTTTTAAAATTTGGATACATTAATTAATTGGTAATCAAAATAATTAAGTATTAATATGCTGATAATTAGTGTCAGCAAATTTTTGCTCATTAAATTTTTCTGGATTTGAATTCAAGTTTTGAATGTTCTTCTGCTTTTACATTTCAATGTGAGAATCTAAGTCCCGAGGCTAGCCCAATGCACATGTTTACACATTGTTAATTCAGGGTCTTGCATCATCATGGATGATTTCAGATGCTCTTTGAGTGATTAAATATATGTTAAATCATCTCTATGTTTTGCTTTGATACCTCATAGATTGGTACATCAGGCTTATTGCTTACTGCTGATCTCATTGTTCCATGTTGTTCAGATATTGAACATGCCTGTGTTCTGAGCTTTTTGGCCAAAGTGGTGTTCCAGTAGTTCTTGATTTCATTGTCTGCTCGGCCAGGTAGCCTTCCAGCTATGAGAGACCACCTGAGATAGACTGACATTAAAAAGACCAGCAAAAGCAAGATAAACTATGAATTATTGAAGGAGAAATAGTGCGAGACTAAATTATTAGGAACAATGAGGGGAGGGAATGAATATAATAACCTGTTACCAAGAAGCTTATGAAGCCTAATGATGAGTTCTTCTTCATCTTGTGTAATGCCGCCTCTTTTAATATCAGGCCCGAGATAGTTAACCATCTGAGCCTACAGCTTTTGGCACTCCCATTCAAGCCTGTATTTAGAATTATAAAGGGTCATGCATGCCCGGCCAAGCACAGAGGAGAATTAAGAACCAAAGTTAATTACCAGCTCCTTAGGGATGCGTGTCCATTTGGCTTGGCCGTGTGTCTCAATGTAAGAAGTCAGTAACTTGTCCTCTTGAACCGTCCATGCTCCTCTGTTCAGCCCTCCTCCTTCCGCGCAGCCACGTGGACGCTTCCCCATCCTCCTTTTTCACTGTATAAGATATCCTCCATGCTCCTCTTCATTTGCTGATAATAGGAAAGTGTTTAAGGTACCTAAATTCTTGTTCTAATATGAACTATTTTTCTCCTTTGGAGAATAATTGGATATCTATTATAGGAAGAGTTCTTATTGCTTAAACATGAAATTGTCATGAATATTTTCCAATAGGTTTGTGTGCAAGGGATATGTAAATTGGTTTTGGTTTATTTTCTTCAGGCTTGCACATTCAATTGTTTATTCTAATTGTTGTGTATTGTATGCCTTAATTATGTTTAATCAATAATATTTTCAATAAAAATCTATTTTGGTTTTTGCAAAGGAATCTTCAATTAATATATCATGGTCTTAGCTTTTCATTTATGGGTGCAGAGATGAGATGCTCTTTTGTTTTTTTTTTCCCCCTATGTTCTTTTGACAGCTAATACATTGATTAGATTTAGATGTAATCTGAAAGGGATGAATTCCATAAGTATGATCATGACTGAGATATTGATGGATAAGAGAAAACTAACTTGACGTGATGGTGTAGAGAAAACACTCAATGTACATTTTCTTGCTTACAATCTGTTCTAAAATTAATGATATTATTGTTTTCTAATTTATTCATGTGTCAGTGTTGGTTTCTACTTACAGTTGTTAACTAAGAATGACTGAGAATGAGAATTCAAGTGGCCATTGATTTAGAACAATGTTGCTATTTTGCAGTTGGAGGATATGTGACTGGATGTACTAATACGTGATCTATGGCAGTCTACAATAGGGGCATACGAGAATATCGTGGGCATTGGTTTTCTAGATGGTGGAATTTTATTAGTGGAACTACTTTTAGAATTCAAAAAATTTGTGACACAATATTCTATTGCATAGAGTGTGCTCAAGTGATTAACTTGTTTTAATTTGTCTGATGTGTATTTTATTGGACGTTGAATTTTGATAAACATAATTTTTATTTAATGTTATTTTCTTCTTGTTATTATTTAATGATTATATTGTCTATTACAGTAAATGTAAACAGTAAAAAGTAAATAAAAATAATAATTATGTATAATAGAAAATAATAAAAACTGTTAAATAAGATCATCTTATTTGACAATTATAACCAAGAACCATCAAATAAGGTCTTGGCCATAACTGTCAAATAAGGTCACCCTTATTTGACAGTTCTTGGCAAGAAACATCAAATAAGGTGTGATCTGACCTTCTTTGACTGTTATAGCTAAGAACCGTCAAATAAGGTCATCTTATTTGACAGTTATTAGCAAGAACCATTAAATATTCTAAAAATACTTGACAATTCATAACCATCAAATATTCACTCAGACCTTATATGACACCATCTTATTGGACAGTTCAGAAACGTCAAATATGATAAAAAAATAACCGTCAAATAATCCCATTTCTGTAGTAGTGAAATTAACAAAGTTTTCAATTTTACTCATATATATATATATATTAAATCCATCCTCAAAGAACTGAATTTGAAAAATATAAACCAGTATTAGAAAAGGGCATATTGCGTTGGCTGAAAAAAAAAAGGGCATAGTGAGAAGGGTTATCTTACATAAAAGGGAATATATGATATTTTTTGCCTTTACTCCCTTCAATCTTTTTGAAGCTCAAGCTAGCTAGTTATTAAATTATTGTTGGAAGAAAAACGTGGCGCCTTCCCTTGCGTCAGCAACAAGCTAGTTGCATTACGTGGGATTGATGACTCCATTACAGAATAAATCAAATAAAATGAGAATGAAAAGATCCATTCATACATTTGTTACCTTGCTATAACCGAATAGCGGTTAAGTTATTATTTTTGTTTGAAAATAATTTTCTTACAACTTTTCTCATTTAATTATATCTTATAAAAAATTAATACATTTTCAAAAGCACAAAAAATGGCCTTAAATTTTAAATGGAGACAATCCTGAAAAAATGTAATTAATACTCCACTTGATAACTTATAATCAAAGATAACTTATTCCTTCTGAAAAATGTCCTGTGAAAGAAACAAGAGGGAGTATCAGAGAAATTTGATGTATGAAATTTAACAAAGTTTTCAGCTTTAATCTTGTTCAAATCATCCTTTGAGAAGCCAAAGAACTAATAAGTTCAGGGGGGAAAAAAACAAAACAAAACCAACATTAAACAAAAACACAATGTAAAAAATTAGCTTAAATAAAGAAAAGGTACCTTTTGTTTATTAGATACTCATTTGATTTTATTTAGAAGTGGAAGAAAGAAGTTTTTTTTAAAATCCTATTTATAAATCACATCGTTAAATTTTTCATATAAATGTAATAAGTTATCCTTTGTTTATTATATAAACTGTTTTTTTTTTTGGGAAAATGTATACTCCGGTAATTAGGAGTAAAATTGAAATGTTACTAAATTTTAAAATAAAGTTATTAAGATTTTTGTTTGGTTACTTTTGATTAAATATGTTAAAAATAATCTATAAATAAAATCAGATCTGCGCCTTGCGTCAGCAACTAGCTAGCTGCATTACGTGGGACTGACTTGACTCCATTAAAGGGTAAGTCAAAGAAAACGGAGAATGAATATATCCATTCATACATGTGTTTTAGTCTATTTGGCTGGACATTCATATGTAACTTATAATTTATCATAAGCCCGTTTAAAAATTAAGAACCTATTTATTTAAGCTGTTGGGCTATCTTACTTATACCTAAAAATTACCCTTAATTGCACGTTTTGTAAAAGCTAACAAGAGTAGCTTTTCCTGTGCCCTCACCATACTTGTAACGGTTAATTTCATTATTATTGGCGTCAGAAACTCTCAATTTCTCTCTCTCTTTCTCTCATTATTTTTATTCTCTTTCTCTCATGCTCCTAGATTCAGATTCCAAAGGCTCTCATTCTCCTCTCCTCCACACCTAATATTTCATTATTATTTGTATTCTCTCTCTCTCATAAATTTAAATTTAAGAATATTTTATCCATTAAAATTATGTTTCACTTTAAAATCCCAATAATTTTTATGATATCTCTAATGTTTTAAAATATATTTCAGTCATTAAATTTTACTTCTTCATTTTAAAATAATTTAAATTCATTGTATTATCTAAATTTTTTTTATCATGTTTCATTATTTATTAAAACTTATACCTATTTTGGTAATTTTACAAACTAAACTTACTTTTATTCAATCTAACTTTTACAAACTAACTTTTATAAAATCCAATCCAAGCACAATTCATATCACCCAATTTAACTTTTACCCAATCTAACTTTTTTAAAAATCAAATTCACAATAAGCTATTTTTTCAATCGCTAATCCAAACAGACCCTTAATTGTGTTGGCCAAAAAAACTACATACATTTTTATTGTAAATTAAAATATAAAAACTGTCGTTTCAGAAACCACTTAATACTCTGATCAAGAATATCAAAGACAGTTTATAGAAAAACTGGCACTCTCTCCTATAGTAATTATAAGCTACGTACTTTCAATGAATTTACACTTACAAAAAAATGGTTCAATCCTAGTTTAAGTATTAAGCAATCATAAAATTAAAATCATTTTTAATATTATCCTCATTAATTATACTAAATATTTCTATCATGTTCTATCCGTTTCAAGACCACAGACAAAACCATCGCATTATTGCACATCTCTTTCCATTTGGAATCTGCTTCTCACAGATTTCTTTTGCTCAGTTAAAAAGAAAACAAATCATTGCATTAGAAATTAGGGTAATCACACTGAATTACCCTTCACAGTTATTAATATTGTGTGCCGGTCAATGTGTACGAATGTTTGTTAGCAAAAAAAAAGAGAAAAGGAACTGTAATCATGCACCTTATTATATTATGAACTAATAAGTTCTGTAAAGAATAATTAGGAAGTATCAAAGTTATACTATTATGTTTCGACGTTAATCAATTAATTAAATACATAACAAGAAAAACAACACTTGGCATGCGTGAGTCATGGCTTACTATTACATGAATATGGGAAGGTTAATATTCGTCAGAGTGTGTCATTAATGTATGGGTACACTTTTTTCGACTGATAACAGGTGATTGATTAAACTTTTATTATAACTTTTAAATATTTTATTTTATTTGAGACTCAGAAAGTATCTTTATCAAGGTTTTTTTAATTAAAAGATTATCAAAAACGAGAAAGTGGACAGCTAAACTTTTCCATTCCAATTTTGTCATTTCATGTCGAAGGATATTTGCTATTATCTTGATTGTCGATTACATTTTTTTCCTAATTTTGTTGGCTAAAATTATGTTCTTTTTTCTGACAAAAATATTTTTTTTATTACATTTCATGAATTAAAAATATGGCTCAAGTGCTCAACATAAAACTGGCAGGTACATTTCCTTTTATTGGCCAGTTCTACGTATAGAATTTGTAAAATTATTATTTTTTGTTTATAAAAATTTATCAGATTCTTTTTACCGAAAATTTCTTTAATGGGATTTTTTTTTTCAATTTTTGTTATTAAATAACCAACGACCAATTTTAGATAATATATATATATATATATATATATAAACATCAAGTAAATACATTTATATATGGATATTAAAACAAAAACAAATAGAAGGCAAAAGATAAGATTTTAAAAAAAATGTGAAAAGATTGTCCCGGCATGGAAAAGAAAATGGTGGATGCTTAAAAAATAAAAGGAAGAGAACACAAGTTTGAATCTTAAAAAATACATTTGTTGAGAGGGTTTTAACCTTAACTCATTTAGTTTAACAGAGATTAATCTAAACCCCAAAGCAACTTAAAGATGCTTTCAGTTATATAGGGAAAAAAAGAAATTGATGGCCAACAACCTCTTGATTTAATGGTATCCCAGACTCCTCCTGATGCTCCTCCTTATAAAATAGGTTGAGTTCTAAGTTAAAAAAAACAGAGAGAAATGTAAATTGAAAACTTTAGATTTACATTATCCATATTAGATTTAAGCAGTAAAGATCTTCCCGTGTTCATAGCTCCCAAAAAT